ATATATGAAGGTTTGTGTATGCTGCTTTGATGTCCGTGGAGCTGGTCTATTCAAGGGTTCCCCAAAGTATTCTACCCATCTGTTCCTCTGTCCTTGAATTTCAGTGATTGACTTGCTTTCTTTGTACTTGACCAGCTTCTCTGGTTTACCATATTTCCCTACCAGTCTCTTCGTTGTGTCATATGCCTGTTTCATATTTCCTTCTATTGCAGCCATTCCCACTATCCTTGTTAGGCCTTCCATCTCTCTCTTCTTGTCAGTTGTTATACTCATCCTCACTGACTTCTTCGCTTCTGTATACTGGGACTGTGCCTTGACATTTTTCTTCTCGTTCACCTGTTGTTAATTACTGTCTTCTTGTCCTTCGTTTCTCGAGTGCTGTTCAGAGTTTTCATAGAAATCCATTTCTTATGATGATGCTTCTTACGGGCCAGAACCTCCTGACACGTTGAAGTTAGTGCTTCATTGATATTTTTCCAGTTATTCTCTATAGTAGACTCTTCTTTCAGTAGATCTTTTAAGGCTTGTAACTTGTTGTTGAGATCTGTCTTGAATTCGTTGAGTTTGTCAGTATATCGAAGGAGGGTTGTATTAAGCCTTGGTAGTGCTGTTCCTCCAGTTGTCCAGTGCTTCTTCAGCTTTAGTTTCATCTTGTCTACAACCATGCAGTGATGTGAAGCTATGTCAGTTACCCTCTTTGTTTTTATGTCTTCCATTGTCCTTAGGAATTTTTTACTGATACAAATATAACATATCCGGTTCTCTGTGCTGTGATCTGGTGAGATCCATGTAGATATGTGTATGCCTTTGTGATGGAATATTGTGCCGACTATAACCAATTTGTTGAAGGCAAATGAATTCGCGAATCTCTCCCCATTCTCGTTCCTTTCTTTTAGTCCTTTGTTGTCTATTCCGACTTTGGTGTTTAGGTCTCCCACCAGGATAGTCAGGTCCTTCCCTGGGCGCTTCGCTATGATCTATTGCGGCTTCTCATAGAACTAATCTTTATCGTCTTCATTGCTATCATTAGTGGGTGCATAACTTTGGATAATATTCATTGTGATTCCCTCCTTGTTTGTTTTGTAGGATGCTTTAACGATTCTGGATCCATGTGATTCCAATCCTGTAAGTGCTGTTGTTGCTGCTCTGGACAACATCAGAGCGGAGCATTTTGTTTCTCGTGACCAGAGTGAAGTAACATCTCTCCCGAATCTATCCTTTTCTGTCCAGCTTGGGTTGAATGTGTTTCACAGATTCTGGGCACCGTCAAGTTGTATCTCCTCATTTTCGTAGTAATTTGAATAGACCTCCCGGCCCCTTACATTGTCTGAACATTCCATGTACCCATATTAATTGAAGCTCTGGTTGTAAGAAGAGACATTGTTCTCATGACTTCCGAAGAATATCGGCTTTCAATATGAAGAGTCATAATTCTTCTGAAAGAAGATCTTTCAACTCCAGGGACAGAGTTTAGATGGTTTGAATTATTTTTTTCTGGTTAGCGTATTATTTATATACCGTATTTTTAACAAGGTATGCAACAATCTGTAAACGGGTCATCATAAGACAATTATCGGATAGTTGTTATGAAATTAAAGATATTTGGAATATGCAACCCATCAATTCAGTAGTTTGATTTCAATGAACATACGAACAACGACTCTTTTTTATGTGCAGATTAAATTCTGGAAAAAATATTGGCCTACAGGTTAAGCAGTCGCACGCGAGACTAAAGGTCTTGGCTTCTAATCACGCGTGCGGGATTGCGGATATATACTGCTGAGGAGTCTAATACTAGGACGAAACGGCCGTTCAGTGCTTCCAGGTTTTCAATAGTGGCCTAACATTCAGCGATTGATGCTCTCAATCAAAAACGTAAGAGTTCCACAACCTCACGCTGATGAAAAAATATTGATTTGAGACTCTTATTATCAAAAGAGGTTACGCAATAATCAAAGGGTAAGAAAAGAATATAAGGATGAAAACAATTTACGGGTCAGAATTATGAAAGATAATTGTCTACAAATAGGAAGAAAAACGAAAAACATAAAGGTCATAATAATAAATGAATAATAATTATGAAAAATTTGTTCAAGGATTATAATAACTGATTAGGGTTTAGAATTATAAATCACTAATTTAAAAAATCAAAAAGAAAACTAAAAAAACAGAATACAAAAGAGAATTAGGGCCGAGGAAGGATGAGGGGTTGGAAAAAATACAATAAAAGTCTATGTAAACAATATAATAGAATTAGTTTCGACAATTATGAACCCTTTTCGCTTAATAAATCTGCATTCATAACGAGACACGTTAACGTAATGTCTTGTAAGCTTCATCTACAGTATCGAAGACATAGGCTGAATATTCACAGAAGTGAAGAACTTGTAAAACCTAATAAACTAAATCGGATAAAAATTAGGTCGAGGGGAAGATAGGATGGAAATAAAAATAGATTGATTCAATATAGGTTGTTGACAGTTCCCATGTGTTCATGGAATAAATAAGACAGAGTGACTATGTTCACATCATAGAATACGATTCTGATAAACAGAGATGTCGAGAATTTTACTTGTAGGTAATCTTGCACACAGTCAAATAATTAAAAGCGTCCCTGTGAATCAATGGATATTTCTGTATAGCGTTTTGAAAAGTGAGAAGACAATAAAATTGTTCATGATATTTACTGGGGTTCTTTATTATACAGTACTAGTATTTCTCTATGAACAAATTCTCGACTATCCCGAATCAATAAGAATAATTTATTTTTTCACTAAAATCGTGAATCTAGCAAAAATATACCACCATTAAAAACCTGTAAGCCACGGATGGGCGCTTCGTCTTAGTAGGGGACTACTCAGAAGCGCAAATCTGCGACCTCTAAACTAGGAGTCAAACCCAGGACCTTAGATTCCTGATTTCAACGAAAATCAAAAATCTTCACAATACTATGCCGTGACTAGCTTCGTGAGAAGATCCCTAAAGTGGTAGTACGAGACTCCTCAGCGGTGCGCATCCACGATCCTGCATTCTGGACTCGAAACCAGGACCTTCAGTCTTGTGCAAATGCCTAACCTCTAGACCACTCACTGAGTCGTCACGAAACTGCATTAATTTCTAACTTCGACCAATTCATAATATTGCACGACCATCTTCCATCGGAGTTCTTGTAAGAAGCGGTGACCAGTGGAATTCAATCGTATCGACTATGAGGCAGTTACACACCGGAAGCAATAGAATACGGTCACAGGATATTGTGGATTTATTGAAAAAAACTTGTACACCATTGGATCCTAGTCCAATGGTCTCGAGATTAGGCGTTCGTGCGTGATGCCGACTGTCCTTAGTTTGACTTCTGGTACGTAGACCATGGATGTGTGCTCCTGAGTAGTCCAGTACTAAGCGTTTACGCTTCCAATGTGCGTTAAACGTGAGATATACTTGCATGTTTACTAAGGGATTTGAATCCGGTACACTTAGCTCTAGCTGGTTGACCCTAGACAGGACAAACGGGCGCCCTGCATCCCATCGTTAGTCATAAACTTTTTTCTAAAACCACTTTGCTATCTTTAAACCTGCTAATCAAGCTAAATCCTTCATTTCCGTACAAATCGTGTGTACATTATGACAAGACTGCAACAATTGTCAGTAATGAGATAATGGCCTAAATTTTTTAATTACTATATCTAAAAATAATTACAATTACCTGTTTTAAGTTTTCAGGGTAAATTATTTCAAAATTGCATCGGATTAAAGAAGTGCTCGTCAGATAAAGCCAGATTATTTGTATTTATTGTGTAAAGTATCAGTCATATTTCGCAAATATGGAATCTTTCCTATTAGGTAATATAATCATGTTCGAGAAGAACCTAGAAGTTCTTAAGTTACGATTTTATTCAAATTTCGATAGCGACGTGTAGCCATTTACTTTTTTACTGGATGTCTTCAATTTTCACTTCCTACATATCGAAATATGACTGCATTACTTTAAAATATTTCATAGGAGATCCGATAATAATAACCATAGATCTGATGGTTAAAATTATTTCCTTACATCAATGCTTTTATTAATTTTTCAAAAATTCAAATTTACAGATATTGTTTAGACTATGCTTCCGTATGTAGAATATGGAAAAACTGTACAATTATTCTTTGAAATGTAAAGAATCATCGTGACAAAAAGCACATAACTTACACATGGGATTTATTCTTTTTTGTAGGATAGGTTATATCATCTATAGAAGTATGTGTTTAGGTTTACGCGTTGTTGATGTTAAAGGCAGTTAGTCTTTATAAGTTTTTGTGAGTTCTTAACAACATACCTCGACATTGCTTTTAGTTTTAATATACTAATGTGGTGGTTAAAGTTTATAAGAACGAGGAAATTTCAAACCCTTCAAACAACTTTATACCTGAACAGGTTAGTGTAAATCTGAACCCAGTAGCTCAGTATTTATAATTTTGACATTTTAAGCAATAGGTATTGAATTCGAGTTTTAGTGATGAACATCAATTCCCGTAACCAGTGGCATTCTGGCGATAAAATGTTGAAAATTATGAAATGCTATTCCTGAACTTTACCGCTAATCAAGATCCAAATGTACTAAGGGCATATCTATTTTTATATTTTCTTGAAGCTTATTTGTTGCGAAACCTATTCACACCATTTCTTGACTATTATGGTTCAGGAAATGTCACAGTGGAGAAATTAACTACATTCGTAATTTGTTTTAATAGTCTTTATTCCTATATTTCAATAGTTATTTTTCAAGAAAATCTTTTTACCTGCTTTTGTTACTAGTGATGCAACTATTTCGATAGTTTTGGTTCCCATCATTGTAATTACTTCTGAACGTGGTGATGTAATGTATGACAATGAAAACTAATGCTAATTAACTGAAAAAAACAAATATTTTACAACATAATAAAACAAAACTTCTTGATAGAAATATTTTGTATAAATAAATAACATAAAATATAACATAAACTACTAATGTCTACAAATTTCCAAATATCAATTGTGACACATAAATAATGACAATATAGAACTTCGAACTGTTCAAAGTGTTATTATTTAAGCACGTTCTGGTTGAAGCAGAAAATAAATAATGTCAACAAATAAATGTAAAGTGATGAGGTAACACACAAACATCAAAAGCACTTTTATAGTTGGTAGATATTCTTTTGTGAAATCCGGAAAACTAAAATATACGATGAAATATACATAATTAAGCAAATAAATTTTATTCGCCATACTTATATTAATCAAATTGTCCATTTCTTATTAATCAATTTGAAACAATTAAAATTTGATTTAGCACAACATACATAAGCGAACAATACTGTTTTCGATTAGATCCTCATCAGGCTTTACTCTAATATACAGTAATATTTATATGCATACACGAAATAATTAAACCAATCAAGGCAGTTTATGAGTCAATGATAACAGTGGAATAGATTACATAATCAAAATTAATAATAAGTGAAAAGTACAAATTGGTAGTGTAATGACAGGTGTACTAGTTGTGATAAGAATAATAAAAGGCTTGAATCAATGTTACATAATAGGAAAATAGGTCAATGATTAGAAAAATATAGACACTGAAATAACATTTATAGAAATTATAAGATTACGTAATAAGAAGTGTTCAGATAATTGAACTGTGAAGCGAATATTAGAAAAATTAATAAGTAAATAATTGGTAGGGGGGTGTAGAAAAATAAACGAAGAAAGATTATGGAAAATAAAATCATTTATTAAGGCCAAGGAAGAGATAAGTGTGTTACAAATTTCTCATGAACACAAAGACTTGGATCGTTGGCTCGAATTCCTGTAGCTTCTGCTATGTGTAAGAGACGAGATCGAACCTCATAAGGAAAACTAGTAGGAATACGATAAATAACTTTAAATGACTGATTTCCGTCAACTTTATGACCGCTATCGATCAAGTGTGAAAGAACCGAGCTGCGTATTGACTTGACAATATCTTTTCCTGACCACGAAGGGAGGTGTTCACTAACTCTTTGGTTCAGTTGTCTGGTAGTGCGCCCAATATAGCTTATTTCAGTGTCGATATATTTCTAATCATTGACCTATTTTCCTATTATGTAACATTGATTCAAGCCTTTTATTATTCTTATCACAACTAGTACACCTGTCATTACACTACCAATTTGTACTTTTCACTTATTATTAATTTTGATTATGTAATCTATTCCACTGTTATCATTGACTGATAAATTGCCTTGATTGGTTTAATTATTTCGTGTATGCATATAAATATTACTGTATATTAGAGTAAAGCCTGATGAGGATCTAATCGAAAACAATATTGTTCGCTTATATATGTTGAAACAACTAGACAATTTCAAATTGTTGTCAAAAAGGCTTCAACATCAAGGTAGTTTTGTAACGAGTTCTTGAAACTCAAGGAAAACTGAGGATTTGTTTCACGTCAGTTTTAGAAATTTCAACACTGAATAGCTGTGATCAATACAGACACAAACGAAGAACACTTTGGTCATTTAAATCATTCATGGTGTGTTTTATCTTAACTAGATAGTGGTAGTCATAATAGATTACAATAGACAATGATAGTCAGACTTCAAGAGGTTTCTGTATTACTTGTAATTATTCATGAATGGGATGGTTCGGATAAATCAGGAAAAGAAACAACTGTCACGGATAGGCTTGGATGATCCTCACACCATATTCAAAATTATAATCATATTTACTCAGTTGGATGCAGATGCAATCATTCTAGCAGCTAAAGGACCACAGAGATGTTAAAAGGAACTGTGTTATAGTATCTCTCCTACAATTAAGTTTATTTACGGTTAATTTTGTCGAGCCCATTTAATAAATTATTTAACAGTGTTATTAGAACAGTAACAATTTGTCTATCTCTTTGCACTGTTCTCACTATCACGTCTGTATCCAACATGTGTTATTGATCACATGTTACAGCCTACGCACATATTTCTCTAGCTCAAATGTTAGTTGCTTAAGTATTGCTCGATGAATCAATCGCTTTTCCATACACATATCTGTGTGCTTGGATCTAAGTAATTGATCCGACTTTGAGTTCGCCTCTGTATTCACTTGCTCGCGCGTATTAGCCTTTCTCCTCGAATTCGTGTGGCGTGCTTGTGACATTTTTATCTGCACTATCCAATAATAAACTGTGATCAGAGCTTTGTGCTACGTTCTGAATCTATACAGCGTTGTGATTTATTTATTAGTGGTTATCAGGGTGATTGATAAACGAAGCTTACGGAATTATCTCAAAGTCAAGCCACTACAGTGTGATCACTGGTGAGGTAATGTATAAGCACATTTGAGAGTCTCCTGTTATGACGAACCAGCTGTCTAATGCTTCTTGATCTTAAAAAATAAGGCTGACCGAGATCAATCTGTAAAGAATACAGTTTATATTAGTCATGTTTAAGAATGCTGAATCAAAGTTCTACGATTCAAATCGCTAGTTTCACTCAATATTATTTAATAAAAGTACATTTCTGGAATTCTAACAATCCATTTATATCTTAGTTTACAGTAAACATATAAACAATATTTACAAAAGTGTTTCCCAAAGATGAGTTTATTTAAAGCTCTTCATGGTCAAATGCTACTGTCAAATAGATAACTAATTCAAAGTCAAAAGGCATCGGATATCACGTAACGATTAAAATTAAATTATTCCTGTTTTTCTTACTTACGAATTATTTCACACCGAACTTTTTTGTAACAAAGTAAAAAGTTTTTTAAACAACACTTGGACATATTCATTATTTACAACAAACAAACTGAGGGATTTGTTGGCTATTTCAAATTTTACATGCCTGGGTTCCCTATTGAATTATATTAAATCTGCAGAAGTTATAAAATATAATACATTTAAATAGAGTAATAAACGTTAATTTCTCTAATCTAAAGGACGGAACGGACTGTGTAAGTCGAAAGACAATTTACAAATATGAATTGAATACTGATGAAATGTTTACCATAGAAGTCAGGAATTGTATTTATTTATTTTTAAATAGTATTCGAATATTACTTTATTTCTATTTGTGTTTTATAAATTAGGCACATTCTGCATAGCCTTTATTATTCGAATAAAAAAGACAATGAATCTATGTAATGATTGATTATTTAAAAATTCATCATTGATATTTATTGAAAACAATAATTTTCTAATCTTACTAGATATTTGGTTTCTCACTTATTTTTCTTGTTAACTATTCCTAATATCATTCTGTTAATCTTTGTGACAGTCAAAATATTCATATTATTAGTTTGATACAATCAAGCAAAACATTAATCCATTCCGAAAATATCATTACTATGATTTGACTTAATAGTTTCAAATATATTAAAGTTTCGTTGAACTTTAAATAAGAATAATATATTTGTACAATCTAAGCGTATAAATTTGAAGTAAATCCAACGTTTTGCCTGGCAATCTGGTCCAAGCTTTTTCAAATTCATTCTCTGACATTTGACAAATATATTATTCCTATTTAATGTCTTACATCAACTCGGCGCCCAAATACTGTTAAACTATTCGCTCTAATTTGGACGAAATTTCTTATATACTTTCGATGAACTGTTTACAATAATTCTATAAACTAAATTAGCAATAACAGGAAATTCAATTCTGAACAACAACTAAATACATATTACAAATATCAAAATAACTGAAAAAGGACTTTTCAGCTTAAAAAAGATGGCGGATGGTGGACGTTTTTCAAGACTTTTTTAAAGCTACTGGACACAATAGAAAAAAAGTTTGACTATCCATCTAGGATCATCGTCATGATCTGAATGATATAACATGAATATGATCTCTTTCGATTGTACTAAATATTCTGCTTATTACCATATTCTACTTATATTTAAACTTATTTAACTCGGTTATTCACTTATTCATTGAAGAAATAGTTTAGAATAAGTCGTGAGACCTAATAGATTCAAATTTTCTTAGTATTGAGGTATTTAAAATATATCAATTATTTATTACATTCAGTCCATTCTCATAGACTTCATTAAATTATCATAATTTATTCTATACACTTTTTTGACATTCAATAAATCTTTTATTTATTTCACTTTTACGATATTGATTTAACGTGGTAAAAACTATAATAGTTGGATAAATAAGTTTACAGATGATTGTGATATAACATACAAAATTTAAGTTCACTGTATAAAGGTGTTTGACATAAACGTACATGCTTCAGATGACTAGTTGTTTTCATGTTTTCTCAAGATGAAAATAAGTCCGAATTTTAACCTTATTTATCACTGTATCTTGAGTCATCTTACACTTTTTCTGCATTCGATTCAATTACAAATATCATCTTCACTCGGTAGAGTATGTCAAAACTTAGTTTCTAACGATATAACTTTTTGTAAATTTAAGCTGTTTTCAGATGACGACAAGCCTCAAAATAGAAAGTATTCATTTTATTTGATAGGTATTGTTCTTGCTTTACCTAAATATATCAAGAGAAGAAGTTAGAACCAATGTTTGGAATAGATTAATATTTTATTTATAAGCTTTCACAAATCAAATCTAAGCATAGAAATTTATTTAGATATCAACTAATAGTATGATTACTATTTATTAGATTTCTATCTATTCCAGAAGTTATAGCATGAATTTATGTCTGATAATGATTAACCAATTAGTAGTTGGAACAGTCATTACTGATGACTTACCTTTGTGCCTTTCGAAAAGACGTAAATGTTATACGCCAGTGAAATTCGTGAGTATACTCTTTATGTGAGTCGAAAATAAGAGTAAAGCATCTATGCTGATATTTTTAAATTACATCCTACATATCATTTTATGCTAAAAACAAGAACTAATTGGTACACTTTCACACTTTCAGTAATCATCAATAAATTTTTAATAAACAATCCATTACAAAGAGAAAACGAAGGCTATCTTCTCATTAGATTATCTAAATTTATTAAAAGAACGGACTGCTCTAAATTATGCAGTATTTAACGCAACGGCGGTTAACACTGTGGTATAATATTTATACATTTTAGTCTGCTCACTTTAGGTCTTGCATATATACAATAACTTTACAAGTAGAACGACGTTTTGAAAATGCATAAAATATTCCATCACAACAATATTTTTTAAAGGCATCCACGCCACGGTTATGAATTACTAATCTAAACGAGCAC